GGATTCTTATTTTTAAACCCCTCTCCATATTTCAACCCTACTGTATTGGTTTGCTGGGGCTGCAATAAAAAAAGTACCCCAGACTGAGTGGCTCAAACAACAGAAATTTATTTCCTCACAATTCTGGAGGCTAGAAGTCCAAGATAAAGGTATTGGTAGGCTGTGTTTCTTCTGAGCCCTCTCTCCTTGGCTTGTAGATGGCCATCTACTCCCTGCGTCTTCACATGGTCTGTCCTCTGTATGTCTGTGTTCTAATCTCTTCTTATAAGGACACCAGTCATATTAGATTAGAGCCTACCCTTAATTTCCTCCTTAAAGACGCTATCTCCAAATGCAGTCATTCTGAAGTACGGGGAATCGGGACTCCAACATATGGTTTGGGGGGACACAACTCAGCCCATAACACCTACCATTCCTCCAGACCAACTCAATTCCTACCTCTTCTGTAAAGTCTTCCCTACCTACCTCTTCAAACATCATTATTCTGCTAGTACTACTGAAAGTTTAACACAAAGTTAAATATAATTCTAATCAACCTTATGTTTTTTTCCTATTGTTTTTTGTCCATTAGACCTCACCGTAATCGTAGGTTTCCTGAGAACCAGGAAAATGTGTGATATTCTTTTGACTTCCTCAACATTTATTGATGAACCCTTACAGTCAAAACTTGCAGTGTTGATAGGGGCTTTAGAAAATATCAAATTCAGCCTCATTCCCCATTTGGAATCCTTCCTACAACAGTTGTTGACAGAAGGCCTTCATATTTCCTACCTGAATATTAATAATGATGGAAACATTCATAAGGCAACTTACGACCTTCTTGTGCAACTTCTGTTGCTATTTTTATTATCTGAGCAGCTTATAGGGGAGACCCACTTTTTTGATTCATAAATGGCAGTGCACATGTAGGTTACTTTTAATGGGAGGTGGGGAAGTGGGTATTAAGAAATATATCCCCCAACTTGGCTAAGGCAAAAGATAGATGGTCACATGATCTTTTATTGCCATGTAAATAAGCCCACCTTAGGGTAATGGAACTAGGGATATGTAACTTTGTTGCGTAATTTATTAGTATTACAGGACATTAACAACTCTATAAACTATGTTGATTAACCCCACTCAGGTTATGGTTTTATTGCCGTTTGGAATGTTAACCAGTTTTGTATCAAACTTAGCATTATCTCAGCATACTTTTTTATCTGCTCATTACAATGAAAAACCCAGATTTTTAACATTATATTTCAAATTGACTTTGTCATCATTTAAAACTTTGACATGTTCACTTACAAATGAGAATTGTGTTTTTAACATTTTGAGGATTATGATGGGGACACAAACTAAATAAAATCATAAATGTATGGTGTGTTGGATGATATGGAGAAAAACAAAGGAGAGGGTGGGTAAGGATGTTGAGGTGATGCTCTTTGAAACCCACTTTACTGTAGAAACTGAGCCTTCTGCGTTTGGATGGGCTGGCACCTGGGTTTTAAAGGAAGATAGAAACAACTCTAAATAATACAGGGTATGGAAAGTTGGCCTTCTGGGGGATTCCGGAGGAGATTAAGTGTGATTGCTGCGTGGGAAAGAGTCGGAGAAAAGATTTCCAATGGAGAAGCAGTCAAGAAAGGAAAAAGTCTTTTCAATTGAACTTTTTGTGCTTATAATAGGACACATATTGTAAATTCCCTCCTTCATTTCCTCAGAGATGAAGAAACTCTAACTCTTCTGATGATACCTTCAGAAAACCTAATTCTTTGGGGGGAATGGATTTTTGGGGGGTAGGTAGAAGAATGGTTTAGTGCTGTTTTATATTAGCATTGGGCAAAATCAGTGACTGTATTTAGAAAACCAGAACCAGAGGATGGCTAGGGGAGGAAAGGCAATAAACATCAAAGTTATAATAATATTAGCTACGTTTTTGAGCACTTACTTTATGCCAGCACCATGAACATACTTTAAATACATACGATTAATCCTTTGTCCACTTACTAGGTCTTTTATTTTTATTTTTTTTAACACTAAACTCTCTCAAATGATATCTCCCCATCCTGTATTTATACAGTTGATTATTTTACTGAAATTCAAGACTGTTACATTCCAAGTTAGAAATTTTAAATTCTTATTTGAAAAGACAAACATCATACAATATCACTTATTTGTAGAATCTAACTGATACAAATAAGCTTATTTACAAAACAGAAATAGACTCACAGACGTAGAAATCAAACTTATGGCTACGAAAGGGGAAAGGGGGGGAGGGGATAAATTAGGAGTTTGGGATTAAAATATACATACTACTATGCATAAAATAGATAACCAACAAGGACCTACTGTATAGCACAGGGAACTATGCTAAATATCTTGTAATAACCTATAATGGAAAAGAATCTGGAAAATAATATATATATAAATATATGTTACATGTGTAAATTTTATATATGTATATAAACTGAATCACTTTGCTGTATCCCTGAAACTAACACAACATTGTAAATCAACTATATTTCAATAAAAATTTTTAAAAAGTAATTCTCATTTGATTATTGTTAGGAGATATCATCAATACATTAGATAACAAGGTGCAGATCTAATTATACATCCACTTTTCTCCATCTTGTCCTCCAAATTCCAAGGCTGCCTTTTTCGTTGAAATAAAGAATTTCCCTGTATATAGGAGAAGATCCTGGACTGGATCCCTTACTTTTTGCTTTGTGGACTAGGGACACAAGCTTGGAAGGTATTAAGAAAGTCAAGGTGAATATGCTGAGATGGATCCCAAAGAAATTAAACCATCAGATATTAGTCAATCAATCAGTGAAGGCAGTGGGCAAAAATATCCAATAAGCATTCATTAGTTTTAGTCAGTCTACCCAATTACACCTATTAGGACTGATACATGTATAAAACTGAACTTGAACATGTGCTTCACTGATGAATCCTGAATTTTGCTATAGTTAAGAGGAGCGAACAGCCCCACCACCTAGCTATGGGCAGAGCATGACCTCTTGGGACCTACAGAACTTGAGGTGTCAATTAGGTTGTCTTTGGCTCTATGGGCCACCCACATAACCCCTCTGAAATGGATGGCCAACTGCCACATTCCAAAAGTTCTCCAGAAGAGGAGATTTCACAACATTCCCTGGTAACCAACTGCAGGATTCACAGACCTACATTTCCTAATATCTAATCTGAATCTTTCTTGCTGAAATTTAAGCTCATTTCCTCTTTTCTATTCTCAAAGGAGGTGGGAAACATCTGGAGAATATTTTACTTAAAATAATAGTTCACATAATTGAAGTCTGCAATTAACTCCTTTTGTTTCTCTAACTGGAATCATGTCAGCTGCCAAAGAGTTTATAAAACACTTGAGAGTGGGCTTCCCTGGTGGCGCAGTGGTTGAGAATCTGCCCGCCAATGCAGGGGACACGGGTTCGAGCCCTGGTCTGGGAAGATCCCACATGCCGCGGAGCAACTAGGCCCGTGAGCCACAACTACTGAGCCTGCGCGTCTGGAGTTGTGCTCCGCAACGAGAGGCCGCGACCGTGAGAGGCCCGCGCACCGCGATGAAGAGTGGCCCCCGCTCGCCGCAACTAGAGAAAGCCCTCGCACAGAAACGAAGACCCAACACAGCCAAAAATAAATAAATTAATTTAAAAAAAAAAAAAAAAAAAAAAAAAAAAAAAACTTGAGAGAACCCCTAAAAGGGAAGTTCTAAAGTGGAACCCTTTTTTCGTTTTTAGCTTTTCTTCCCATAATATGAAGGCATCATTGTTTGCAGAGCACAGAGCACCTAAATGCTGGTTCTGACCTAAGCAAGTCACCTACTCTGAGTGGGCATCAGTTTCCTCATCTGCAGGACAGGGACATTGGCTAAATGACCTCAAGGTCCCCTCTAGTTCTAAAACTCTATGGTAGCTGTGAACATGAACAACAAATCCATACTTCATGGACAAATGATTTCATGAATGTACATGCTTAAGCCTTTTGGATGTCATCTCACACTTCTGGTTACTTTTCAGCATTTCACTCCCCCTACCTTCTACAGGTGGAGAGGGAGGGAGAAGGGTCTGAACAGCCCCCCTGCAAGTATCCCTCTGATGAAAGAAGGTGTATCTGACGAGAAACCAAAGAAAGAACCTAAATAAGAAATAAAATTTACAGACAAAAATGTGATTTATAACCTCTTTTATACCATATTCGAAGATTGACTAAAAGTTGAAGCTTATTGAGAAATCTTTAAAAAATGGCTACAAATGATAAAACCTCCCTACAATGTATAGGCTCAAAATGTCCCCCAGAGTCATTCAGCAAGTATGCCTCCTGTCATAGGAATGACAAATGAATACAAAGTATGCACCTTGGGAAGGCGAAGTAGGAAGTGAATAGGATGATGTAGTCGTTTTTAGGAGCTATAATGTTCTTTTTTTTTATATATATAATGTTCATTTTTGAAGAAAAATGGAAGATCCAAAATTTAGAGGCAGCTCTATAGTAAGGCAGGCAAAGATGAGGGCTTCTCAAGAATAAGACCCTCCCCATTCCATGGGCCCAGCGATGTGCAGCAAGGCAAATTCCTTCCTGGTGTGACCGAGAAGGGCTGGAGAGAACTCTACCGTTCACATGAGCATCTTTCTGCCTTCTTGGCACTAATACAGCTTGTGTAAATGACATAATGTAAAATAACGGTGTTTTCAGGCCTTTGCAAGGGAGAGACGTGTGAGGAAGTCTCATCTAATGTAAATCACTGAACTGGACATTGTAAAAATATTTGTTAAGAGCAACTAACTATAATGTATTTTGTAACATATAAATATCATGGACATGGAAGTATAGACTTCCAGTTATAAGACAAATAAGTGCTCGGGATGTAATGCACAACATGATAAATGCAATTAACACTGCTGTTTGGTATCTATGAAAAGTCGTTAAGAGAGTAAATCCTAAGAGTTCTCATCGCAAGGAAAACAATCTTTTCTCTTTCCTTTGTTTTGTATCTATAGGAGAAGATGAATGTTCACTCAGCTTCTTGTGGTCATCATTTCATGATGCATGTAAGTCACATCATTACGCTGTACACCTTAAATTTATACAGTGCCATATGTCAGTTATATCTCGATAAAAGTGGAAGGAAAAAAATATATAAATTTCATGGAACATTTGTTCACTGCAAACACTTTTATTTAATCCTGAACTCTGTGCAGACCAATGGGATTACAAGTGAATTTCAACCAAACAAAATTCAGCAATTTCCTTGTCATATGCATAGTTGAAATTTGGTAGTTGTTGTAGAAGTTGTTCTTAGTAAATAACATGAATGAATTGAATAAAGTAAAATGATAAAATCACACTCATTCCCAAAATATCTAAGGTTGCAGAGACTAGAAAGTTTAAACCAAGTTAGGTAAAAGGACAAAGGCACATAACTTGTTTCCTGAATGACCTTTATCCAGGTCCTGAACTTGAAGAACTTGGGGTCTTAGGGTAGCCTCTAGATGTGGGAGGGAGTCATAAGGAGGAGGAGATGGCCTGCCTTTGGACTCCAACTTTTCCTGAGGAAGGCTGTCATATTAGAAGCTCTTGCCTCTTCTACTTTTCTGCAATTCTCTGTGTCTTCTAGATGCTTCACTATTGCTCAGCATCTTACCCAAGAAAAGTTGAGAGATTAGGTGACACTCAAATGAGTTAGTTCTGGTCAAAGTTTTGAAAATTGAGAAAGTTGAAATATAAAGTACAGCAGGGCCAGTTCCCAGCCAGCCTGGGCACTTCCTGGAAGCAGGATGGAGAGCCCTTTGCCACCAGGGATGTTTCTCCCAGTATTTTCCTACGATGGTGGCAAGGAAGGACTGAAAAGCACAGGGAGGTCTCTTTTCTCTGTCCCATTCTGATTGGCACTTAGTATTTACTCTATCAGTATATCCAGAAGATTGAGCAAGCAAGCCAACTTCCTGTGCTAGCATTTTCTTCTAATTAGCTGGCTTTCATGGCGGGTAGACTCTTCATTTTAGTATTTTTATAGGAAACTGTGAAACAAACCAAAATTCCCTAAACCAAGCAAGAAATCCTAGCCTTTTCCGTCTTCCATAATACTAAGATATTTATTAATGAAATTACTGTATGGATGCATACGTGTCTTTGTGGACTGAAAGGCGAGAGGTAGCGGACGCGAGGCTGCCAACTGACTTTTTTTTCACTTTCGAACTGGTGATTTGGGGGATTCAGGTGTTGAAGTTTTATTTAGCTAAGATTACTTTGAGCCACATAACCTTGAATGACGTGATGTTAAAAGTCAAGCTCTAGAGTTTCTATCACACATGGGCAAAATATTAAATCAAATCAACAGCACTTGGAAATAAAAATAATTGATAAATTTCCTCCATAATTGCTCTCCCCTCCCCCTGCCCACACACACTCATATGGCTAATCTCCAGTCAGAAGAGCAATCCTACTAAAGTTACAATATGTACCCCTGAAAATTTCTGAATTATATAAGAACTAAAAAAAAAATCTCAACAATTTCTTGGTCAGTAAAAATGTGAATTTGTTCTTTCTCTGTTGCATGGTTTAAGAGTAGCAGAGATCATTCCACAGGACTGTTCCCCAAAATGAATTTAAATACAAAAAAAATTGAGCTCTTAAGCTGGGGCTAAGCCTAAAATGCCAAGTTGTGATAAACTGTCAGCCACAGAGAGGGCAGTCTCTAAATCCACCACTTTTCAACCACAGCTCCATATAGATAATTAGCCCGCGTGGTAACATCCTGCCCTTTGAACACAGGCAAAGCACTGAAAGCAACCAAACCACAGCTATCTTGGTATTGGAAGTTCTGCTTCTTTCAGGGGTGGAATTTATTTTGAGGGAGAAAGAGATGGATGTGCTGTCTGGGAGGAAAATCATAAGGCTTTCACAGTTAATCCACTGAACATTTTTCAGAGAAAATGGAAGTGGAGAAAGGAAAGGACAAAGAATTATGTAATAAATGCCAGTTCTTGGAGATGCCTAAGTGAAGGAGGCTGGGAGTGTGGAAGAGACCTTCCTTTTTTTCAGCGAACTTTGCTACAGGGTACAAAGAATTCACAAAAATGAGGAATTGCACTGAAAACCATGCTTTATAAGTGCTATTTCTTAGGACTTAGTGGGGATAGGAAACTGAATTGGAGATGAGAGACCTGGGGTGTATGTAGCCACCTCTCTGTCATGTTATACTCCTGTGCTTTTCAGGGCCTCCTCTTCCTAAACTATAAGATGAGGGGATTGAATTAGAGGGGGAAAGAGCCTAAATACCTGGAGGAAGCAGGGAGACTGGGGAGTGAGTGGAGTCGGCTGGCCAGAGTTTGCAGTGAACTAGGGAGCACTACCCTATCCAATGGGGCAGTAGTTGAACTACTCACTTGTTTGCCTGGTTTGGGCAGGTTTTCCAATTTTTCACGAGAAGCCACACATTGGGACATTTTGTGAAACCTCTTCATCTTGACACTTGGGGTTGATTTCTTTAAAAATAATGTCTGGTAGAAAAAACAAATGCCTACCTGCGAGCAGAATCCAACATTTAGGCTGCTGGGTGCCTTGGTATCAGATGGTTTCTAACATCTCTCTTGCGCTAAAACATTGTATGGGGGAATTCCCCTGCCTTTATTTGCTTAAATTTCTAACTCCTGGCATTGTTTCTCTCTACTGTGTCACGTTGATTTGTTTAATTATTAAATTCAACAATCTTATATGGAATTTTTAGGCACTACTATGTTAGTGGCTGGCTATATATAAAAATAAGTGAGAAACAAGGACATACTCTCAAGAAGTTTCCAGTCAACTATTGCAAGTTAGATCTTAATCTGGTGTAAGTGCTTCAATAAAGACAAAACAGACTTTAACCTGGACGGGGTGTGTGGGTGGCAGGTTGGTGAGACGCAAGGTCCTTGAGGGACAGTGTTAGAACTAAGGTTTGAAGAATGAATGGTAATTGCTCAGCAGAGTAAGGAGGGAAGTGGAGGGTGTTATCTAGAAGCAGACATTGGCAGCTACAACAGTTAAAGGGCAGCTGTAGGGGATAATGTTCAAGAGCAGCAACTCTGAGCTAACCTGCCTGCATTAAATCCTGATTCTATCATGTTCTAGGTCTGTGATCTTAGACCTAGTTAAGGTTAAGTTACTTAACCTCTCTGTTCTTCCATTTCCTCAAGATAAGTTGGGGATGATGGTAACATTGTCTGTCTTGTGAGGTTATGGAGGATGTGAAGGGAATTAATGCAGGTAGAATGCCGAGAACAGTGCTTAGATATAGTAAGCACTGTATAGGTAGGTGTTAGTTATTATTTAAAGAGGGAGAAGGAGGATGACGAGAAGCAATAGCAGTAGAGGGGATTATGGGCACCTGTTCCACCACACTTAATTGCAGTCCTGTTTTTGAAGAATTTGAAAGATAATGATTTTTTGTCTTCACTTTGCTCCAGACCTATTATGAAAACTAGGCTGCCCAATTGTCCCCTTGCCTGAGATACCAAAGACAGGTCACGTATAGATAGCTCCTACTAGGTGGATAACAAGTGTAGCGTCTGAGTTCCCACCCCTCAGCCCTTGCCCCACCTGCTTGTCGCCCGAGAGCACTCGGTTCAAATGCTCCATCTCGTCTCGCTCCCCTTTCCATAGAGAACTGGCCACTGCAGGCTGTCTTTGTATTGACTGTGAAGGGCTTTGGCTTTAACATTCAGAGAACCAAAGACATTTCTAGGCGGTGATGGCAGCAGGTTGGCCTTGTGGGAGCGGCTGCAGGACTTAGGCTATATTTTACTGTTGAAGGAAGTAAGATCCACGAGTAATAATAGCTATACTTTTAGGTCAGAAAAATAATCAGCTTAAGATCACTTTTTTTAGAAGCTTGATCTTTTCGTACTATTTTCAGGAACTTGAGGAATAATAATATTGGATAGTTCACATTTATTTAGTGTTTACCATATTCCAAGACTTGTGTCTGAAAGATTCATGTCCCCCTCCCCCGCACCATAGATCCTTGCTTAATTCAAAACTACACTGAGTTTTGTATCTGAAAAAACAGACTCAATTCAACATATGCTTCTTTTATAGTAAGTGCAAAGTAGTAACCTCAAATCCAAAATACCAAATAAATCCCAAATCTTTTTTAGCCACAAGCATTTATTTAAATAGAAAATATTAATTTTCCCCCAAGTGAAGCAAATTTGTAGTGTATTTTATTTTGAACAATGGTCATAAAATCTACCAACTGGCTATGGGGGGCAGGAAGCTCCATATACAAGCTCTCTCAAGTGTCTGGAGCCCTGGGGTCAGACATTTATCTCTGGGGATTCTCTGCACCTGGTTCATAACTGTGTACAAAATAGGCTTTATAATTGCTTGTTGGACAAACATTGGGTTGGCCAAAAAATTCGTTTGGGTTTTTCGTAACATCGCACAGAAAGACCCAAACGAACTTTTTGGCCAAGCCAATAAATGAATGGCACCATATTTTTATCCCATCTTCTCCCACCTTTTCTAAATGTTTAAATAAGATCTTGGGTGGTGGGAAGGCTGAGAGTGCATTACAGTTTCTGAATATTGGATCAACCTGCCTCTTCTCTCTGTCTATAGTTTTCATTCTCACTCCTGATTTTGTGTTCTAGTGTCCCCTGCCAACTCACAAGAAGGAGAAATCCTACATATTAGGCTTGCTTCCTTAGAAATCGAGTGCTCTTTTTGCTTTAAAAATAACAAACTTTGTAAAGACAGGGAAGGGTTGATTGAAGGTAACATAATCTTGAGATTGGTGATAATTGTCATTCATCACAGGATGCTTGTAATAGTCTCTATGGCTGCTCTAAAGGTCTTAGACTTGGCCTGAGCTGAATGACAGTATCACGGAGGCATTTTTCTAAATCCCCAGTCTTAATATTCAATTTAGGACTCTAGACCTCAAGTGAAAAATCTCTGAAGTTCTCACCCTCCATAAAGGTAATCTCTGAGACTCCATTTCCTTATTTGTAAAACCGAGAGTGTCAGATTAAATGATCCTCAATGTTCCTTTCAAGTCTAAAAACTCACTGTCCTTGTCTCTACCCAGTCTAGTCCTTTTTTGTTCTGTCCTAATTATGCCAGACACTGGAAAGAGTCAGGCAATAGGCTGTGGAATCGAGTATTAACATGAAATTGGATGGAGGGTGGGAAGGAGGGGGAGAGATGAACATGTGATGATTTCATACTCATGTGAACTCTTCAACAACACTTTGCAGAGTCCCACGATTCTTTTCTCTGTGATTGCCTGTTTTGTGGGCCACATCCTTGCCATGAATTTCTGTCTCCTCACTGTGGAAACCAGCCAAGGACACATTACGGACCACCTGCTCACTTTCTTACACAAGATGACTCCCCAGACTTATTTTCTTTGCTTTCTCCTCCTGCTGGTTTATGGCTTTCCCTTATGTAGCAATAAAACTCTTGGAGAGTCCTCTTAGGGATGAATTAATGCCACTTAAGTATAGTTCCATTAGCTGCCCTTTGATGGTTCTGCTTAAAAATAAAGGGGGAGTTGGGGCAGCTTGATTCTTGTTGAAATTTTCCTTCCCTTTGATTTAACATTACCACTGCTCTGAAACTCTTAGTTACACTCCAAGGGAGCTTTGCTAACAATAAAAAAGTGTGGGAAATACTGTCAGAAGACAAACTCACCATCTTTCAGTATTTTTTTTACCCATTGGAAAGGTATTTACATTATAAAGAGGCCCAGCCTGGCTTGTGTGAGTTTTCCTTGTATTCCTTTAAATATTCAAATTTATAAATAATAAATAGAAAGTATGTCTGAATTCCAGAAAGCAAAGCACTATCTTGCTCTCCACCCTAATAGCAAACAGATTAAGGATTGGGTGTCATGATCCCATTTCAGCTTTGTGTAGTCTACAATTTATTTTTACTTTCCCCACGTTTTGTTTTATATTTTATTAATTCACCTGAATCTTATACTTAATCTGTGTCTGCTCTGGAACAGAACATCCTATGGGGTTCAATTTCGCCTTCTCACAGTCGTAGCCCTGAGAGTTGGAAAACAGGAGTGTCTGTCCTGAGCTTGACACTTGCCTCTGTGTGGCCTTGGGTAAGCCATTCAGCTTTTCTAGGCTTCTAGCTTCTCTGCTGTAAGAGTAATAGAATCTGGATATTGAGGGGAAAAAAAATCTCCAAAGAGATGGGGTTTCAGCTACTGTCATGGAAATTACCATTAAAATAAAATCTTTTCATTTTTTTTCCTTCTTTTGTTCGCTTGAGAAGTGAAGCCGACCAGACAACATGCAGTGAGGATGTTGGGGTAGTGTCACCATGACCCATGACCCATTTCACTGAGCTTATTACCACACACCACTTTAATTTTCTTATTTATCCCATTCAACAAACATTTTGTGAACCGTGCTAGGAACCATGAAGGATTCAAGCACAACTAAGATGTCACTTCCACCTCAATGGCAACCCAAGGCAAAGACAAAGTCTGAAAAAAATGCAAAGAATCTGGTCTTGCTTCCTGTCTTGATCCCGCTTCCTGCTTATCCCCTTTTCTCTTACACTTGCTTCTTCTCTTTCCCTTGTCCTTTCCCAACTCTATCCCTAATTCTTTTTCTCCTTTCCAGGTTTCTGATTCCTACCTAGTGTTTACAACCTCATCAGCCCATTTCGAACCTGAGTCTGAATAAAAGCCAATGTCTTCAAGGGCCAGAGTGGGACACACGAACCAAATCGTTTTCCCTCTTCACTGGATTCAAGGGCAGGGTCTTTATAAGCAAGGAGGAAATGCCATGTGGGATGACTAGGGTGGTGTTAAAAAGCACCCATCCCTACCTGGAACCAAAATACCTCCTCCATAGGTCTGCTAAGTGCCCACAATTTCTGTTAAAGTTCCAGAACCTGAGAAAGCTAATATATTCCAGAGGTTTTTATGACAAATGATTGATCTATAATGTAGAACAGGGCCCAACGCACTGGGACTCAGGCAATTGAGAAGAATGGGGCCTGGGGCAGTTTAGGGGCTCTGGGTGCGTTGCCCTGGCTGGGAATCGGTAGATAGTAAGATGGAGGTACAAAGTAATAGGTATCTTAGGGAAGTCAGAGGCATGAGGTGGTGGCCTGAAGCTTAGCCTTGCCACAAAGAATCTCTAGCAGCTCCTGGGGAGAAGGGCTGGTCATGATGGCATGATGAATTTTTGTCTACCGCATCCCCACTGAGAGGCAAGAGCTCATGTATTCAAGAAGGGTCCACCTCCAGTAAAGCTCCATGGAGACTGACTATAGCCCAGCCCTAACGTGCTTGAGATGAACAATCTTGGTCATTTGCAAGACTCAGACCCCAGCCCTCCCTCGCCCCATCATGCCAGGGGAGGGACCGATGCTTCTCAAACATGCACATGGATGGGGCAAATCCTGCCACCAGCTCACTGCATTATTTATCTGGAGGTGCAAGGCTAGCACCCCATCTCCCAGATAGGAGAGGTGCTACTGCTCCCCTCAGTCACAATTGATGAGTATCCAGGAAGGGGATTGGAGCCAAAATTCTGCCACATTGTCGAGCTATTTGATCTCAGCCTCTGATCACACCAGAGGAAGGGCTCGTGCTTCCCGAGTCACACAGTTTAAAAGCCTCACAGGCCAAGGGGCAGCTTCCTCTCCTGGAGTCTGACTTCCAGGCCTGCTGGATATTTGTGCATGACCCTTGCCTGAAATGTGCCAAGGACAAGGGGGAACCCTCACACCTGCTACTGCTCCTCCCTCTAAAATTTCCCTATAAACACTACTTGGCCATTTGCCTTTGTTTGTGCAACAACCTCCAGATCCTCCCCCAGTGCTCCTCTTGGGGATTGGAATTCTAAGATATAAGGAAGGCAGAGAAATGCTTTCATCCTTTAATTACTTAATTCATTGATCCATCCATTCAACATTGTTCAGTACTTAGCAAGTGCCAGGTGCTGTAGACACAACACTGAGTGGAGAATGAGGTCCCTGTCCTGGAATGACTCATCGTCTAGAGGGGTTGGCCAGCTGAGCAGTTGACTGCTCAGACTTCTTCCCTGGGTCAGTTTCCATCTCTGCGAAATTAGTCACAGGGAAACATTCAACTCCTGTTCATGTGTGTTGGGCTGACCAACTCACTTGGAGGATAATTGCCAGCATTTTTACAATCTCATGCTGGCTTCCCTCCATCTTCCAGTGTGTGATTGGGCTTTTTCTGCACTCTAGTCCTTGATGTGTATCCACAAAAAACAAACTTATTTTAATATCAGTCTCAACAAGACTTGCAAAGAATGCAAATGGAAGACATTGCATAGTGAACATAACTTTTGAATTATCTCTATGAGCATCTGGCCTTATACAGAAGCATATTTAAAAAATAATGAGTTATCCATGAGAAGTCTGAGTCAGGCAAAGAATTCGTAAACCTACATATTATTTAGCATATGATAATATATTCTGAATTTTTTTAGAGTAATCTGATTCTCACTGCTGAACTCTACTTGTTCCAGCTGCTACCAAAATCAAATGATAAAACATTTTCACAAACATGTGAAGAAAATTCCTTTTTATATATGTTTATCATCTACCCACCTACCTATTCATCTTCCAATCTATCATTTCTCTCTCCATCCACCTGTAGTTTTCGATGTGGACATAGTGGTCCAGAGACACAAAGGCTGGCTATTTGCTTGGTTCTGAGTTCTGACTGGGTAGAAAAATTGGTATATCCAGGACCTGTTAAAGGAACTTTTGGATTGAACATAAAAAGTGTAATTGTGTATTACAACTTACATGAGAATTTTCCTTCAAAGAGCTCAAGTTACTATAAAGTTAATTTAAAATAAAGATCCTCAAAATAAAGATCTTTTGCAACTAGAAATTATAATAGGTAGCCTGAATTTTAATTTACTTTGTGTCCTGTCAGATTCATGAAACATACAGGTATAGACAATAATCAGAGCAGAAGCAATATACTAAAGTTCAGCAGAATCCTGTTAGAGGAGGGTTTGACTCACTCCTGGCTACCACTGACCTTAACATCTGGAATAGTCTCACTGTGAAATGGAAACCAGACATCATTCTTTGCTCCGACACTGGCACTACCAGGGGTTAATTGAAGTCTCGTCATTAATTCATCGAACACATATTTTGTAATGGCTGAGAATGTTTTAGGCACTGCCAATTCTATTATTAATAAAAATATTAAGAGTAAAAAATCTTGAATAAATGTTTACCAAGTGCCAGACACTGTGCTAGGTGCTTTACATAAATTATCCCATTTAATACAATCCCAGCAACTATGGGAGGCAGGTGCTATTATACTCATTTTGCAGGCATGGAAATGAGTGCCCAAAGAGGCAGTGTGTGTGTGTGTGTGTGTGTGTGTGTGTGTGTGTGTGTGTGTGTGATATATATATATGTGTGTGTGTGTGTATATACACACACATATATATGTATATATATGGGTGTATATATGTATACACACATATATATGTATATATATATATGTATATATATAATCTTTTGTATCTTGGCTTTTGTAAATAAGACTGATAGTACATTTCTTTTTAACTGCTGAATACCACAGTTTATTTTTCAATGTTCTCCTTTTAGAAAAAAATTTTTATTTTATATTGGAACATACTTGATTTACAATGTTGTGCTAGTCTCAGATGTACAGCAATGTGATTTAACTATACATATATCTATTCTTTTTCAGATTCTTTTCCCATATAGGTTGTTAGAGAGTTCAGTGTGCTCCTTTTAAAACCACATTTTTGACTTTCCAAACTTCTCCCCTGACTTAAACTGCAAATGGACTCTGCTAGCAACAACCAGGTAATTTAAGAAACCAGTGTTGGAGCGGATTCATGACTGACAATGGTGTCATTGGGTTACTCTTCCTGGATAAGACATTTGTCTTTTAATAAAGTTCCCATCACCTCAAGGAGGAATCTGTGATGAGGAAGTCCAGGGGCGTGAGGATCACTAGGAAGATCTTTGGGGCAAGGTGGCCTCTTGGTGCCTCTTGGATCACACCAGAAGGGCACCTCATCCCCAGAGAGGGGGCAAGCTAAGATTCCTTGAACACCAGCCTAATGCCACACTTTGGACCATTAGCACCTTCACAGTTAGCATGCTGGGATTCATGACTGGAAAACACAGAAGAGGACCTGGCTCACTCTCCACTGTGCAGGATTAACATAAATCACAAACCCAGCTTGATGAGCTAGGAAGGTTACAGCTCAAATATGCCTGTTTTGTAGAATGCACACTAGGCTGAAGGAGTGTTAATTTCAAATAGAGTTTACTTTGCCTGGTATCTATTTGTTCAGAATTTATTAAAGGATACTTTTTTTTCTTTTGCCTCACCTGGGTAATGATGGTCATTATGGACTCGTGAGCTACTGAATGTTTCTGAACGGCTGAATCATTACATTTAGCCTAGTGATGCTGAAACTATACTTCTAGTTAGAATTAGTGTATTATGTTATAATTATTTTAAAGTTGATGATCATTGTATGTATAATGTGAGAAAGGAATTCTTCTTCTGACTCCATTTAACCTTATTAGAGTGTGATTCTATAAATATTATCATTGAAAAAAATGTAAATCAGAGCACAGTACTCTTCTGCTGAAATCCCTCCAATGTCTTCCTATTATTCTTTGCATAAAATCCAAACTCCCTTCACTGCTTTCAGACCTTGATCTCAACTGGTCCCTGCCTGTCCCTCATTCCACCTCTACCTGTTGATTAAGGGCCAGACACGCTGACTTCCTCCATTCATTGAATTCACCAATTTGCTTCTGCCAGGGCCTATGCACAAGCTGTTCCTTCTGCCTGAATGGTCTTTTCCCAACTCTGCACATGGCTAGCTCCTTTTCGTGTCATGCAAGTCTCAGCTAAATGCCATCCCCCAGAAAAGCTTTCCTTGACCACTCTGACCGAGGCAATGTTCAAATCTGGTCATTCTCTGTCACACTGCCGCATTCATAACATTTCTCAATAACTGAAATTATCTTGCTCATTTATTATATTCATTGTCTATTCCTCCTGCTATGTCTATAAAGTTTGTGAGAGAAGGAACCTGGCCTGTCTCATTCAACATGCTGTTTCCCAGCGGCTGGCACGTAGTTCGTGCTCAATAAAAATCTGGAGAATGACTAATTGAACGGATGATACCATGGATGGTAATCATTGTTCTCAGGGTATGGTTCTGTGTCTTGTGAGTGTGTGTTCCTGCATGTGTACACCTCTTGGGGGAAGGACTTTGCTGTTCTCTCTTTTGTTGTCACCTCTGCTACCAGGTAGCACATGGCAGTACATTGGCTACTTTAATTTCTTTATTCCCTAGGGCTTAGCGCAACGTTTGGCACATAGTAGTTATTTCATGTTTTTGAATGAATGGATAAGTTTGTAGGCAATGTTGATGAATCGCTTTATAAAACAGCCTATGGCGTATAATCCAACATCACGAGCATTGGTCTTTAGTGAAGCTGCAGTCTCATTAGCCTTCCAAAGTCCCTGCTGACTCATTCTCCTTCTCCAGTGACCCTAGGAATGGAGGGCAGCCTGCCAAGGAGGCAGATAGCAGGATGGCTGCCCTTACTGAGAAGCCTTGTCGATCCAGCTTCGCTGCCAAAATGATGGCAGTCTATGTCAGGGGTTAGCCCCATGGTTCTACGTTCTGGGAAGTTTTGGAAGAATAGCATAAAGACTGACAGTTATTGAATGCCCACCATGTGCTAGGCAGTATGTTAGGTGCTAGACATATATCATCTTAATCGTGACAACACTACTGTGAAGAGTTGCTTTTATTTTTTAAAATAGGTGAAGAGCCAGAGATTCAGAATATTGAGTTACTTGCCCAACTTTACATAGGCGATAGTGGCAGAACTAGGATTGCAACTTCTTTCTGACTCCAAATGCTGCGCCTTTTGTACCACAGGCACTGTAAAAACAACCAAATAGCAACAAAGTCCCCTCCTGCACGATTCATTTGGGTTAATAAAGCCCTCTTCTGAAATGCAAATGCTCTCGGATTGAGTTATCCAATTAAGTCATTCACATATTTGTGTTAATAATTTTGAGAAGATGAACTTTTACCTATCCTCTAACAGAAGTCATTATCCTATGAGAAGGTACAGGTTGGAATGGAGGGCTGGAGAATTTCTGAGAGGGTGACCCCTCAGGGAGGAACAGACGTGGGTGGGATGAGAGTCTCTGGGCAATGAGAAGGGAAAGGGTGGTGGTCTGAGGACTCTGTCAAGCTGGGTCTACCTGACATTTTGTATCAGGTATTTGGAAGGCAGTTTACTGGGAAGTCTGACTGGTAGGCTGACTGGAGGATGGTAAGTGTGAGACAAAGCATGGCAGGGTGGTTACATGTATGGGATCTAAACCAGATGCTTAGGGTTAAATTCTCCCTCTGCCACTCATGGTCTGGGTGACCTTGGGCAAGTTACTTACCTCTCTGCACCTGCCACTCTTCACCTATAAAAAATGGTGATAACTGGTGTTATATATTACACTTGGGTATTGTAAAGAGTAAGTGAAGTTTTCCCATATACAGTGCTCTGAACAGTGCCTGGAGTTAGTGATTCATAAATGTCAGCCCTTGGTGTGCAACTGCCCTTGCCACCTGAAGGCCTCACTCTGCCATCAGCTGATTATAAACTGTGAGTCTCATGTGGTCATTTTAGTACGTGCAGAATCAAACCAGATGGTTTGGTGCTTGATGGTGGGGACAACTGGGGTAAAAAAAAAAAAAAAAAGGGTCTCTTTTGGAGCTGCTTAGCTCTCTAGAGTTTGGGTTTGTGGAGTTCCTTATATCCAGGAATGTAGTACCTTTCTGGCTAAAATTTGCCCTTGCAACTACTATTAATTTACCTTAATGTCACCAATTACTTTCTCAGTTTGAGAAAAGGAAAAATATCAACTATTTGAAATAATAATAATAGTTAATCTCATTTGAGATGAAATTAGTTATGTGCCAATTTCAATCAAATTTTAGTTATGTGCAGACGAGTTTCCATTGTATTTTACAAATTATGACAATCTCCTTATATCACAATCAAGAGGAGAATGGGGCAACATTCCTTTCACAGATCCTGGAATTTGAAATTATTCTAGTGTTGGTTTCTCACACTGATTCTGAGATATATGTCTTATTATTATCGTTAATATTATCTTGCTTCTAGCTCCTTTGTTTTGGGACATCTGCTTTGTCTTTTGTAGTAACTTGCACTTCCATACTTTGCGTGTTGTGATTCGAGATGCAGTGGCAGGATGCATTATACATTGATCTGCTTTTTGATAATCAACTTAAATGGTGATGATGGGCTGCAATGTATTTGGGTTGGAGCAAAACGTTCATCCTAATGAAATGTAACTTTATGAAAGAAACGCTCCTAATCCTCTCAAGGACCGAGCCAGATCATCACAGGTAAATGGGAGGTACTTGAGGTTTCTTTTCTTCTTTCTTTCTCTTTTTTTTTTTTTCCCCCAAAAAAGATGTTGGGTCCACCAACTGTTACCAAGAGCATTATTAAAAATCATGTCAGCTCAGAGTTATTGCTGTTTCTGAAGAAAATATAAATGTATTTATTTTTAAATCTGGACGTATGAAGTTTTAAAAATATTGTTGTAAAGTTCTCCTGGCTACTTTTCCTTAACTCTTTTCCAAGTTTTGGGCTGGAGAAACTTAAAAATGTGTCTGTGCCAAAGTTAAATATTAAATGAAAACCTTGTGTCTGAGGAGCTCCAGGATTTATAAACTGTGGCAAAACTGGTAAGATCTCAAATCACCAGAGAAAAAACTTTCTAAAGGGAATGGGGTTGCATTGTAAATGGTGTCAGTTCTGAGCTGTGGGATAAAACCCACAGGGAAAGGATAGACCATGGCTCATTTTAGGCTTGGACGAGGCACCATCTCTTTGAAGTTATCAAGGTCCTTACTTATTGTTGAGCTGGTACACAAAAAATATTTGAAAGAGTTAAAGAAGTTAGTACTTTACACAAATGTGCAATGTGATATCATAAGAAAGTCTCCCTCCCTAAGAAGACATCATCTTTAACTATCAGTAGCACTGGCTTCCTAAAGTCAAATCCAGTTATTATGGTGAATATTAATTTTAGTAGTACCATATTTTTCCTCAAGATTTATTATCTTCTCTCTCAAGGAAAACACTAGGGGAAATTGAATTATCCATGAAAGATTATACAATGAACCAGGAATATAAAAGTTTAGTTTTCATTTCTTAGTTAATTCTAGTGATAATTTGCTTCGCAGCGATTGGCGGAGATGTTTGAGTTTCAGTTCTTCCTTCTGAAATGTATTGCAGTGACTGGGGGCCCTGTACTGAGAGGGGCCTTCAAGGCAGAGAGAGCCTGTGGGCGAGGGATTCTGAACCACCTGGATTTGGATCCTGGCTCTGCCACTTACCAGCTGTGTAACTGAGGAACCTCCATTACTTAGCCTGGAAAGTGGGAATAATAATTCTTACTGAGATCATAGTAGATAATAAATGTCTTATAGTGACTTGCTAAGTAGCAGAAACTCAAAAGAGGGTAGCTATCATGATAAGCATTTATATAGCTTTGCACTCTTGCTATTGCCATAGTTCATAATATCCAATAGGATATTAATATATCTTTTATCAACCAATTATGGTATCTTAGGCACATCCATAAATAAAACCGTCCTTAAAAGAAATAATCTGTCCTGGGTCTGTTGAGCTAGCATCTGATATTTACATATGCTTGCATTGAATTGTGTTTGAAACACCTTCCTGAAACAAAAATGTAATTTTGATGTTTCTGAGTAGGCATCAGAAGAGAAATCTCTTGTGTTGGATTGAGGATATTAAGGTATTGAGGATATCTAGAAGAAATAAAAATGAGATATTAATAAATTAAGGAAAAACTATAAGAGGCCAATGAGACTGTGTGGAGAAATATACAAAAGAAATAAGAGGAAACTATGAAATGTTAACATTCTTAGACTGGAAGCCAAGAACATGGATACAACCAAAAGGAGCTAAAGGGACAACTGAACATTACTCTGGTTACTTTGCCAGCAGGAACCCCTGCCTTATGCTAATGATATTACAATGAGAAGCCCACATGCCAATGAAGTAAACAGTAACTAGAAGTAGTACCATGAGTGCTCCAAGCTTCACTGTGAAGAATGGCCTGGGGAGGAGTCCAGGAAGGGTTCCTACAGCAAAGGTTAAGATCATGAAGGAAGGAATTTAGACTCCAAAAAGGATTTAAACTGGTGTGTATGCTTTGGAACATTTTGGCTATGCAGTCCTGCTGTAATTTCCTCTGGCTTCATTGCATAAACAAAAAAACACATGCTTGAGGGTTCCCATTGAACTATCTAGATACCCTTTGCTGAATGGATATGATGTTGGTCTGGGACTTGTGCAGTTTATTCCCTTGGTGTTTGTTGGTGTGACTTTGATCAATTGTGGCAGACTACAGCTAAGTTTGTGGTCCCTGCTCCTTAAATTCTTAGAAGGGTGAAGCCTGCTAAGAGTAGGGAGGAAGATAGTGAGTCAGCTGATTCTGTGAGAGCCAAGACCTTGTCTCTGAACCATATTTTCATGACATAGCTTATTATGTTGCTTACACTTGGTGGCTAATGCAGCAGGTGTTATATTCTATTATTTCTGGTTTTATTTTGTTAACTGTTCTCTTAACCGTAAAGAAAAAATATGGTTAACTACTTTATCAATCCCTAAAAATACAACTATTTTATGTGCTGAAAGAAACCATATTTGTTCTTAAATTATGGGATGGTTTGGCATGACAGCTAACATTCATGGAGAATTTACTATTTGCCAGGCAGTACTGAAGACATTTTATGTTAATTCATTTAACCACCTTGTGTTGATTAACTTATTTAATCCTCAGAAAATTCCCCCTGATACAGAAACTATTATCATAATCACTCCTATTTACCTGTGAGGAAACTGGGGCATAAAGAGTTTAACAAGTAAAAAGCCCCACAGACAGTAAGTAGCTGGATTGGGATTTGAACTCAAGGAGGCTGCTTCCAGGGTCTAGGCACTTAACTATTATACCATATCACCTCTTTGAATAGGAATTTTGAATATAGAATAGACTTTGGAACATACATAAACTTTCCACATTAATGCCCACCCACAATGGTTGAATTTGGAATTTTTATGCAAATGTTATTCTGCTCTTTATATTCATTGAGCTTCCAGATTAAAACTGAGGGTTATTGAAGAATATGGCAAAACTTTATTTATTTAAAAATTTCTGAACACCTCTTATATGTAAGGTAATCTAATAAGAACTGAAAATAAAGAAAAGTAAGACAAACCCCCTAATCTTTTGTGAACCTTAAAGACAAGAGAATAAATAAATTTTCAATATACGAAGTTCCTCAAAAAAAAAAGTCCCAATAGCTGTTGAGAGAATTTGGGGCTGTTATGGTTTCCTTGAACTCCTTTTTTTTTTTTTTAATGATGCAGTATTCAACAATTTATCTTAAAAATTACTTTAATAATTTTAGCATCAGTAAAAAACCACTGCTAATACACAACTTGAAAAGGGCTTAATACCAAGTCCTTAGTTCCACATTGCACTTCATGGTGACAACTACTGGAAGCTTTTCTCATCCCACAGTAAACAGAAAGTCCCAGGTCAGCCAAAGAGACACCCACTCTTCCAGGTCAAACCTCCAACTACTAGGGGCAAATGCATGGTTGCTTGGTGAAGCAGGGCCGAGCAGAGGGTGAGCAATAGCTGAGCTGGCCAGTCCCTAGGTGGTAAACCATCCCAAGAAGTAGTAGAATGTGTTGCTAGTGCACAGACTCTAGTGCCAGTGTTCAAATCCCAGCTCTGAATCTTACTACCTACATGACCTTGGGCAAGGCTTACCTTTTTTCCAAAATCTTTTTATGCCTCACTTTCCTCCTCTATAAAATGAAGATAATAATAATAGCTACTTTGTAGGGCTTTTGTGCAGATTAAATAAGTAAATATAGGTAGAGCTCTTAGAATAACGTCTAGCACAGAGTAAGTGCGATATAAGTATTACCTGTTTTTATTGTTGTTATTATTACTGACAGAGGCAGGAGTGGATCCAGGGCATTAGACAGGAGGGAGAATCACAGTCTACCTCGCTTGAAACAAATGTAAACCCAAGGAACCCACTCTTCCCTCCTTCCCATCTCCCAGAGTACATTTCTCCGGCTCTTACTTGTTTCATCTTCTAAGGAAATTTATGACAATGAAATATGTACTTATACTCCCTCCTTTTAATTAAGTTATTTCCACGTTAGATAATAATCCATTGTTAATGATGTCTCCTTTTGAATATTTAACAGATTCTGTTTCTTCATTGGCTTTGGACCATGGAAACTGGAGCGGGAAATCAGATGACTGTACTTGCAATTCAAAGAGCAAACTGAATAATCCTCAGTGATACTGAGGTGGAGATGCCTCGCCTTATGAGAAACCATGGATCTTGAGCTTCTAGTTCTAAATATCCTTCTGAGATGTCTTTCGCTGTTACTTGGAAATGATGGATAAAACATGTCCAGTATAAGGTTAATTCTTACTTAGCTGTTACAATAAAGGGGACATTAAGTCCAAGTACTACCTGGATCAGGCCAAGAGGGGCCTCTGCTCTGACCTTCCTGAAGCTGTACCTTCTCCACCTGCCATGGCGTAAGGATCCCAGAGATTGTGCTGTCCAGAGCCTGCTTTCTTCTAGACCATGCTCAGGTACACGTACCCTAGAATTCTCTAACCGGATGATCTTGAGTTCTTTCTAGTGACTTCACAGGCTTCTTCTCAGGGCTCAGCCTCCTGAGATGGACTGTCCCCCTGGGCTGTACACCTCTGGGTCCAACATGGGGCCAGGGAGCAACGGCTTGTTAGTGGTTGTGAATGGGGTTGGCTGTGCAGGTGGCATCTTCACATGCCTGGTTGTGAAACCTCTTGTGGTCCACGGCTGAGCTGGAGATGGGAACAAATGAGCCAGGGGTAGGCTGGCCTCCCTGCACCTCTGCATTCCTGTGCAGCACTTCAAGGAGTCTGAGAATTCCAAATCTGAATGTGGCCTTTCAGGTCGCTATGAATGTATATTTGCCAAGGCAGAGGATAAAACAGAAGCTATTTAACAGTTTGTTAGCTTGACCCACAACTTTATATATACACATATATATTTCTTTTTAATGTGGACCATTTTATTTATTTATTTATTTATTTAAAAACTTTATTTATTTATTTTTGGCTGCATTGGGTCTTCATTGCTGCGCACGGGCTTTCTCTAGTTGTGGTGAGCGGGGGCTACTCTTCGATATGGTGCACAGGCTTCTCACTGCAGTGGCTTCTCAGAGCACGGGCTCTAGGCGTGCGGGCTTCAGTAGTTGTGGCACGTGGGCTCAGTAGTTGTGGCTCGTGGGCTCTAGAGCGCAGGCTCAGTAGTTGTGGCACACGGGCTTAGTTGCTCCGCGGCATGTGGGATCTTCCTGGACCAGGGCTTGAACCCGTGTCCCCTGCATTGGCAGGCGATTCTTAACCACTGTGCCACCAGGGAAGCCTAATGTGGACCATTTTAAAAGTCTTTATTGAATATGTTACAAAATTGCTTCTGTTTTATGTTTTGATTTTTCCGCCATGAGGCTCTTAGCTCCCTGACCGGGGATCAAACGCACACTCCCTGCATTGGAAGGCGAAGTCTTAACCAGTAGACCGCCAGGGAAGTCCCAATCCATAACTTTTAAATACTTAAATGTATGGTATGAGGGCCTCCACTTGTACTTTGGACCAAAGCATCACAAATGTTAGGAGTGGGCCTGATTAACATGGATACCCATTAAAAATTCCATGCTAAAATGTCCATGATTTTCTTTGCTGACACAGAAGCGCCCAAGAAACAGAGCAGACTGTTCAAAAGCAAAAGCCGAGGAGAACTAACAAAATACCAGGGATGGCTATCCGTTACCATTTTTATTCTTTTTTTTTATCTTGCAAATGAGATTTCTGGAAAGGGAAATATCATAATTAATAAATCAAAACCAATAATGGGACAGTTTCATTGGAAGAAAAAGCAGAGGAAAAATCCCCAGACATCAGTTGTACCAAACATGGTATGTATCTGCTCTCTGTCAGCCAAAGCTTGGTGTCAGAAAATTATTGCTGGAATATTTGGAATCCTTAATTCCAGGAAACCTGGGGGCTTCTGGGCAGCATATGTGAAGTTAAGAGGCAAGAAATATTTCATCTTCTGTGAAAGTCACAAGAACAAAGAACAAGGTATTAGCAAGCTAGTGACTAGGTGTGGCCAAGTGAGTCTGTTTTCTTCTTTTCATGTTTCTTATGTTTTCTCTAAATGTCTGAAGCCAAAGCTTTTTGGAGAAGGAGAGTCCATCTTCCTTCTCCCCTCTGAGTTCATGGGGGAAGGTTGCCTGTGCCTACTTGGCGTGGTGGTGTTTCTGGCTCAGTAGTTGTGGCTCATGGGCTCTAGAGCGCAGGCAACAGCTGCCAACCACTCCTGACTCATCTTCAACACAGGCTGCTCATTTATTCCTGGGTCACATGGAGGACTAGCAAAAGCTAGTGTAGAAGAAGCTTAGTCTTAGATTCTTTCCATTTAGATTTCAATCCTGAGGACCACTTGGGGACTCCTTTGATGAGCCTCTTCATTTACAGTCATTGTGGCCTCTGGCAAATCACTGAATCTCAAGAAGCCTCAGTTTCTTAAGTGTATCATGAGAATAATGACAACCTACCTTAGAGGATCATTGTGAAAATTGCCAACAAAGTGCCTGGTTTACAATAGATGCTTCCTAAAATGTTTTGGAGCCTCTTCCAAATAATGTAGTATTTTAAAATTTGTCTACATTTATATCAGACACATATTGTTTCTTTTTGTATTTAAATACAACTCTTACGTAAATAAATTTTAAATTATTATCTAAATAAATTCAAATTATTATTTAGATACACTTCTACCTGTACCCCTCCTGGAGTTTATTCCATCACTGTCTCTACATACATGTCTGGGGTATAGTTCTAGAGGGTAGGTCTAGGAGAGGGCCAAAATGAAACTAGAGGATGTCGTTTGATTATTTTCTGCCTGTCTTCCGAGGAACTCCTGAGTTAAAAATGCATCTGGCTCCCATTTCCTGCAGAATTTTGCTTATTTGAAATGTTCAAGAAATCAACTGATCCGACTTCAAACAGACTAGGTTCTGCTGGCCTTGGAAAAGCCCAAACCCCTGTTTGTGTCACTCCCAAGTCTGGACTTCACAAGCAGCCAGTTCCTTTCATACCTTAGTAAAGGACTTCTTTTTGGCTGTGTACTCGCTGTGCTGAGCCAAGTGTCAGGCTGGGAATTGAGGCAATAAATCTTTGTGAGTCTTCATATTTGGAATTTCTCCTGTTGCTTCTGATAAGGAAATGACAGAGTCTCTCAGCTCTATGCATGAACCTCAGAGAAATTTGTAATCCAAATCATGTTTTGCTCACAAAATGGAAACAAAAAGTGCTAAACCTGGCTTTGAGTTAACCCAGATGGTTTTGAAGGCCTGGGTAGTGGACAAGGAAATTACGTTTGTTGATTGAACTTGCAAAATTTAAAAATGAAAACAAATTTCTTTCTATCTTTTTAAAAATTCTGATTAAATCTTTCTCAATGGGTGGGGTGGATGGCAGCAAGATTCTTCTGAGGTGAAGGTCTTTGCAAAGAATCTTCGCCTTCCTGTAGTAAGAAGAGACCTCATTGTTGGTTGCATGACCTCCTCTGCCCCTTCCCACATTTACTTTGGTACTTCCAAGTTTCGTACTAAGCCTCAAAGACTGACTGAAGTGAATATGATTGGTAATCAGCAATTTCTCAAAAATGGAAAGATTTTCCCATAATCTCTCCACATTCTCTGAGATGACTAATGAAGCCAACCCAGGTCTGGCTAACTCCCTGAGTGATCATAGCAAAAAGATATTCTCAAAATAAAACAAGAAAAACTTTTTTATTAAATGTTTCTAGTTGATTTTGAGTATGTTCTATCCAACAGCATCCCTGACAACATTCATTTCTGGCATTTCAGTGCAAGTGGTAAAAATGACTTGGAACAAAAAACTTCATTCAGCAGCAATCCCTTGGCCCTAGCTATTGTTTGCCTGAGACCCACTACCATAAATGAAGAGGGGGAGGTTGATTTGATCATCCATGGTCAGAATCCTGCCGGAGTTTGGTTGGTATTGATATGACATCAACTAGCTAGTGGCCTTTTTCAAAGGACCCGTGGTTTTGAGCTATACCATGTGAGAAACCCATTTAAAATGAGTTTCTTTCTCTCTCCTGTGTCTACATTCAGTTACTGATTTTAATTTTGTTGGCACAGGGTAAAATGGTCAATGATCCTGACACAGTCACCATTTGGAGTGAACTAGTCTACCCATTCTTCTTACTACTGATAGGGATAGAATAGCATAGTTATACAGGTAGTTGTAGAAGTCCCAGTAGGGGACTATAGATAGAGAGGGAAACCTAGGAAACTTTGGGAGACCACTGTAAGTTAATGATCGCTCAAGAAAGCTATTGGGGGCTTCCCTGGTGGCGCAGTGGTTGAGAGTCCGCCTGCCGATGCAGGGGACGAGCGTTCGTGCCCCGGTCCGAGAAGATCCCACGTGTCGCGGAGCGGCTGGGCCCGTGAGCCATGGCCGCTGAGCCTGCGCATCCGGAGCCTGTGCTCTGCAACGGGAGAGGCCACAACAGTGAGAGGCCCGCGTACCGCAAAAAAAAAAAAAGAAAAGGAAAGCTATTGGAACGTCGTGGAACAAAGCAGGCTTGCTTAACTATAAAGCCATAAATAAAAGCACGAGATATGCCCCAGGCCATTAGGTGGAAGAAAAATGTCACCACCCTTCTACTGATTTGAATAAGCGCTATGATAATCCTAGTTTGACCTCATAGGGTCAGACACTCTCCTGCCTGATACGAAGGAGGAACTAGTGATGTAAGCCTCATGTCTACTCTAAGAAGGCAGTCTTTTCCCTTCCCCCTTTCCTTTGACTATAAAATTGTAGCCCACTTAATCCTTAGGGCAGAGCTCCCTTGCCTGCCCGCTTGTGTCTCTTACAAGCATCCTATGTTAATAAATCTACTTCTTGCCTATCACTTTGCCTCTTGCTGAATTCCTTCTGTGCTGAGACACAAAGAACCTGAGCCTCAGTAAGTCCAGACACCAGATGAGTGATTCTAATTAAAGGACCGTGGGTTCGAGCCCCAATCTGGGCTTAGGCTGGTTTCGAGTCCCGGTACAGGGGTTCAAGTCCAAATCTGAGGTGCACGGTATCACAATTGAAGCATCAGCTTGAGTTTCATTGTTTTAACTAGCTCTTCTGATGTCATGTAGGTACAGCTTCTTAAACTAGTAAAGCAGGCATTATGTGGCTAATAAAAACATTGGTTAATCTAAAAATCATGTACATTTAATCTTGGAATATGATTTTAACTTATGTTTGAACATGGGTGTGTCTAATGTCCTAAGAATTCATTTCAAAGAAAATATTGATGCCCTAGAGTGAAAAATCTTCCAGACTTTCCATTTTAACCCTTACTTGGTTCTCCCTTTTTCTCATGTCCAGTCTCTGACTTGGGACAAGGTAGATCAGGAAAGCAGCTTCAGGACATTTCTGGGTTAGAAGTCTTTCTTTCACTTTTCATACTTATCATAATAAATTTTGGAAGTTCTGAGAGAACGAAGAAATTATATAGCAAACACAACTTCTTTACTTTGCATTTACTATGCGTTTTTAACATACATTCAGTTAAATATTTAAATATTTCCTTGGTGTCTATTGTGAGTCAGGCATTAAAGATACAGTGACAAATAAGACTTGCAAGATTTCTATGCTCATGGAGCTTAAATGTTAGTGAAGGGAGTCAGACAAAAAAAACAAACCAGATAACTTTAGAGGCAAATACTGTAAAGAAAAGGAACAGGATCTGGTGATGGGATGGGTGTAAAACTGATGCTACTTTACATTTGAATGTAACAAAGGAACCAGTCAGGTGACACTTTGGACAGTGTGGGAGCAGAGTGCCCAGCAAGTGCCAAGGCTAATAATAGTCCTTTATTATGAGGATTAAATGAGTTAATATGTGTAGAGTGCTTACAACAGTCCTTGGCATCCATCAATACTCACTGCTTTTCATTCTTTAAATAGT